GCTGACTACACAGAACAAGACTCAGAGCAGCTGATCTGCCCCCCAAGTGTGGGGGAGGACACGTCTAGAGCATTTGCCAGACTAGAGGTATATCCACCTTGTTTAAGCTACTGCATTATTCCCTTTGTTACAACAGCTTAGCCTACACCCCAAGCACAGTAATTCCTTATTTTCCTACTTAGGATTTTAATCTGATATGTAAAACATGAAGAAAGCAAAATCAGATGCCAGTGTGGGAACTTCCGCCCCACAACACAGTCCTGCTGTGCCAAGTGTCTCGATCTGGACTTGGTGGACACCTCTCGAGCTCTGCCCACAGGCTCTGCAGAGAGGACTTCTGTGGAGGAGTGTCAGAAGGAATTCTAGTTTTCTCTGCTGGACATAGCTCTGGTTTGCCCCAGCAGCTAAACACACCTGAACGGGAAAGCGAAGCTGTCTCTTTCTTTAGACTGCTTCCTAGGAAGATGATGTCTCTGTCTCTCAACCCTTAGGCAAGACAGCGTCTCATCTGGGGCAGGAAGAGAAACTATGATCAAGACCATTTAAAGGCGTTGCCCTCCTTGGACTGTGCAGTTGCCTCTAGGCTTCCTAGCATCCGTCTCCCTGTGAAGGGAGTGGGTACACTCTGTCCCTACATTACCCATAGGGAGGTACGCGAGGTGATGTCTCCTTCCACGGGCATTTCTTTTTTTGTTTGTTTGTTTATCTTCTCTGGGAACAGAGACCAGATCATTCAAAGCTGCTCAAACTAGCACAATTGGTGACAATGGCCTTCACATGGAGAAGAGGAGGAGCTGTGTGGTATGGAGCTGTGAAGGGTCACGTGACGGCACGAGGAAGACACAAAGGTGCCATCTGCTTGGCCAGGACTTGGCAGTACCCCGAAAACTCTTGGGCGAGATGTCCCTCTAAGTTCTCTATGCAATCTCCCAGCTGGTAACCAAGAAGAGGGAACATTCTGTGGGGAAATGCGTGGTCTCTACAGCTTTCTGGAAGCAGTATGATTTGGGCTATTTATCTCCAAACTCACTTCCAATTCTTCATTTTGTCTCTGTAAATCTTCCAGAATGATCTGCAGCTCCTCTTCATCCTCACTCTCACTCTCACTCTCAGAAGAGTACTCCTCGGTTTCGCTTCGGCCATGCTGCTGACGACTGCGAGGGAAGAGAGGAGGGAAGCTTTACGGGCTGCTGCTTTCATTACCTCCCTCCTTTTAGATTTAGCATATTTTCACGAGTGTACTTAATACAATATCGTTTGTAAGCTCTGATATAACTAAGAAACTTACAGATTATAAATTTCAGATGCCTCATCCTTCTATAAGAAAGCCTCTGAGCTGCAACCTCTACGGGGTCGTTGGGAAAGTCATGAGTTTTACACACACACACAAAGTCATAACCTTCCCAAAGACCTAATGTATTTACATAAACATTCTGGGAAACTTCAAAACCCTTAGCTTTCCTTTACCTCTGAATTTCAGCAATCTCAGCTCTGAGTCGCTCAATCTCCTCTTTCTCTGAGGCAATCTGCCGGCGCAGAAACTGCTCCATGGCCAGGAGCTCCTCCTGCTCGGTCAGGATCTCATTCTCCTAAAACAATGATCACCAGTGAACACTTCTAAGAGTAGTAGACTAGGAAACGTCACTTTTGGGGGTCTCCAGTGTTGTCCTGAATTCTTCAGTCCCATACAGTGTTGAACACACAATAAAAAAAAAAAAAAAAAAAAAAAAATCCTGTTTCCTTAAGGCCAAGAAAAGGCTTGAGAAAAGGTAAACAAAATTATTTGAGGGGAGTGACTAGACAGGAACACTCTGTCCCTTTGCAAAGGCTCCCTGTGAGGTTCACACACCTGGGAAAAAGCCAGGGCTCACGTGATAATACGCTGTCCCTTCTGACTTTTCTTAAGGCCTTCCCATGTCTCAGGAAATGTGAGTTTATTTGGGGCCACAGTGGCCTTCGAAAGTGTCACAGGAAAAAGAAAGACCTGGCAGATGTGTGGCTGGTATCAACATCACCTTCAAAGCAGGTCAGAGTGAAGGAAAGATGGTCATAGACATTTTTTCTACTAACCACAAGTCACCATCCTCCTTAACCCATGTCCCCAGAGGTAACATTTAAATAGTCAATATTCTGCTTCAGAATTCATTTCTAAGACTGATTAGGTCACCAGTCCCTATCTGCTAAAAAAATATCCCTATGCTTAAGATCCACATAGGCCGTCCACCTAGAGAAAAAAAAAAAAAACAAAGCAGAAACAGCCCAGAGAGGAATAGACATCTGGTTACAGACACAAGGAGCTGGAAGCAAAGACCTACTGCAAGTGAGTGGGTGTTGGAAGGGTAAGGAGCTGTGGTCAAACCTGAGGGGTGCCATGGCTGCGTTCTAAACTAAACTACACAAAGCCGCCAAAAAGCACTGACAATCTCTCCCTTGGAGATTAATATGCAGTGTTTCCCAAATGTTTTTTGAACACAGAGATGTGTTTCCTTTACTTCAGCATACCTATTAAAATTAACATTGTAAGAAATAGCGAATTGAAAAACCATGAAATAAAGACATAATCTGGAGACCAGCAGATGATGTAGCAGTTATATGGCTAGACTCCTACATGGCCGACTGCAGTTCAAGTCCCAGGCCTGATGGCTTCAAAATCACACCGGGCACATATGCGTGTGTATCCAAGATTCTGGGAGGAGAATGGAGGAGAAGGCATTGTGGTGTGGCCATCCTCCATGGGGGGTAATTTCTCACTCTCCCTCTCACTGTCTAGCTCTCTATCCGGCTAGCGTGCATGTCCTTAAGCAAAAGTCTCTACAAAAAAAAGAAAAAGACATAATCTGAGACTTCAATCTCTCTGGTGTCCCTGCTAGAGAGAACGTGAAAGTACTGAAACCTGCTGGATGTCAGGTAACCTACGTACATCAGGTTCTAGAAGACTAGACAAACCAAGTTGTCAAAGCCTAGAACGTCATTCCTTTTTTTTTTTTCCAGAGGCCGAGAGAGATAATAAGAGGGAAAGTGAGAAATTATCCTCCAGGAAGATGACCAGGTTCAATCCCTTCTCATTCTCCTCCTGGGATTTTGGGCGTATATTCATGCACATGCGCCCAGGGTGAATTTTAAGCTGCTAAGTCCAGGACTTGAACCGCAATCAGCCATGTGGGACTCCAGTGATGTAACCACTATGCCTCCAGAACAGAATAGGCTGACAGAATTTCAGGAAAAAACAAAGCAAAAAAACTCTTGTCTTCATCTCTATGCCTGGAATACAGCAGATATTCAAGAGACATTTGCTCAGTCAATGAAGAAATAACAAGACAATTTGCCTCCAATAATTGATTTTCAATCCAACAACTGATTTTCACCTGGAAGAATAAGATCAAATTATCTAAAAGGTATTTTAGCAACTACTATCATTTAAAATCTGTATCATTACATTTCATTTCATTTTATTTTATTTAATTTGCCAGAACATGAATGTCTTTGCCAAAGAGTGACAGAGATACAGAGGGAGAGGGAGGAAGCACCACCCAGTGGGGCATGGTGATGCTACGATCCTTCTCTTCCACTTCTCCCACCCGTTTGGGTTTGGGGCATTTGCTTACACACACCCGTCATGTTTTCCAAGCCTCTAGTCTGGGATCTGAACCATGTGGTCAGCCATGTGGGATCTGGATCCCTTAACCTCCAGGCCATGAGGCCATTCCTTTTATCATTACATTTCAAGGATCTCAAACTTTATAACATCAGAAACAAAATGTCTTGAAATACTTTTTAAAGTCTGATCTCATTAATACAGAACAAATACCACCAATCTATAAATTAGGGAAAAGATCTATAACTCAGACCTGTGTGTGTGGACTGAGATTAAGCAAAGCACCCAGAACAATGCCCAACAAGGAGTACTCCATATAATGTAGTTCTTTCTCCACATTTTAGCAAACACAACATAAAGGCAGGGTCAACTACAACAAATGCAGTCCCTCCAAATCATTTTTAACAATTTTGGTTGAAAGATTCATACCACTGTGGTTGAGCTTCTAAATTATACTTTTTTTTTAAATAGGGATTTTTGCTATAGGGCATGTGTGCTTGCCAGAGAGATAGAGACAGTGAGACAGAAAGTGAGAAATCAACCACCAGGGGACTGTAATCCCTTCTACCCCATTCTCCTCTCAGGATTTTGTGCACACACACACACATGTGTTGGCTTGAGTTTTAAGCCACAGGGTCCAGGACTCGAACTACAGCTGACTACGTGGGAGTCCAGTGACATAACCATCACACCATCTGCTGGTCCCTCAATTATACTTTTAAGGGGCCAGCAAGTAGCATGGTGGTTAAGGTGCTGCATTCCCACATGGCCAACCAGGGTTTAAGTCCTAGACCTGGCAGCTTGAAAATCATGCTGGGTGTGGGACCAGCAGATAAGTTTAATAGTTGATTATGATTTGAGTCCCAGAACAGGGGGCTTGAAACTCACACCAGGTGCATGTGTGCCCAAAATCCTGAGAAGAGAATGGAGGAGAAGAGATTGTGGCGTGGCCATCCCGCATGGGGGGTGATTTGTCATTTTTTGTCTCTCTATCTCCCTATCTCTCCAGCAAGCGCACAAGCCCTATAGCAAAAATCTCTCAAAACAAAAAATGAAAATCATGCTGAGTGTGTGTACATGCCCAGAATCTTGAGAGAAGAATGAAGGAGAAGAGACTATGGTGTGGTCATCCTGCCATAGGTAGGGTGGGGGGATTCTGACCCTATGGCAAAAACACACAGACCCTATGGCAAAAACAAAACAAAACAGATTAAAAAGTAATAATAGGGACCAGCAGTTAACGTAATGGCTATGCTGCTGGACTCCCATGTAGTCAACCGTGGTTCGAGTCCTGGACCCTGTGGCTTAAACTGTGTGCGTGCCCAGGATCCCGAGAGGAGAATGGAGGAGAAGGGACTGCAGCATGGCCATTCCCCCTGGGGGGTGATTTCTCATGTCTTGTCTCTCTGTCTGTCTTTCTGGCGAATGCATGTGCCCTATAGCAAAAACCTCTCCAAAATAATAATAATAATAATAATAATAAAATAAATAAAAATAAGATGATCATTAAAAGGTTTGCAAAATAGCAAAAAAGAATTTAGCTTACCTGGGCAAGGAGAATATTTATAACTTCCTCGTTTTCATTCATCTCTTCTTTGGAAACATCCTCTTTAGAAAGACTGGCTATTTCTTGTGCAATCTTGGTTTCACATTCCTGCCAAATAAGACAAATGAAAAAGAATTGGTTGGTCTGTATGTAACACATATCTAACAAGTTCAAACTATTACCAATCTAGAAGTTTCTTTCTCATTTCCTAGAAACAAAAAGTAATCGTAATAATCCTATCAATAATATAAGTCAATAAACAGCCATGCATTTGTTATTGGCTTACAGCACAACCTGAAGATCTTAGTGTACAGCTGTACTGTGGAAAACATTCAATTCTGATTAATATACTATTTCTGGAACGCTTCCACATAAATCACCTTGAGTGATAATTTTTTTTGGGGGGGTCAAGACTGTCAATTTTAAGCAATGTGCTACTGCAAACATGTAGGGACCGCCTGCCACCACTGGCACCACCGCACCACCGCCACTGCCATCGCGCCACATTTCCATCTTCACACAGTGCTCTGGATTCCCCACCAACCACTAACCTGATTCCCATCACTACGGTTTTTCCTTTTCTGGTATTTCATATAAACTGAATCCATCAGAATTTTTTATCTGGTTTCTTTCACATAACACAATACTTTTAAGATTCATCTATTTTGTTGGTTATATTAGTAGTTACTGAATAATATGCCATGGTATGACTGCACCCAATTTGTTTTTCCATTTACCTACTGATGGACATTTGGGTTCTTTTCAGTTTTTAACTATTATGATGCAGCTGTTACAAATATTTCACATAGGCTCTGTGAGGACATGAGCTTTCTTCTCAAAGATAAATACCTAGGCCGCACACTATACTTGGTTGAAAACAGTGTCCTTTCCCCACTGAATAGTCTTAGCATCCTCACTGAAAATTAATTGCCCATATGTGTATAATTCTATTTCTGAACTTCCTACTCTGTATGTCAACCCTTATTTGATACCTACTGTCCTAATTACTATAGATTTACAGTAAGTCTTAAAATCAAGTAGTCTTCAAATAAGTCCTGGAACTTTGGCTTTCAAAATTGTTTAGGCTATTATAAGTCAGATGTATTTCCATATAAATTTTAGAAGATTGATTTCTTTTTTTAAAAGAATTATTGTATTTTATTTATTCATTATCATTTTTTTTTTTTTTAAATTTGACCAGAGAGGGACACACAGAGAGTGATAGGGAGACAGAAAGAGGGAAAATGAGAAAGCAAGCCACCAGGTCCAGGACTTGAACCGTGGTCAGTCATATGGGAGTGTCCAGCATCTTAACCACCACGCCACCTGCTGGTCCCAAGAGAGCTTATTGATTTCTACAAAAACCACCTGTTTGAATTTTAATTATGAATCATTGATCAATTTGGGGAAGGCTGACATCTTAATACTGAGTCTTCTATTCCATATGCATATGGATATACCTCTCCATTTGTGTAGGTCTTTTTTTATTCCAGGTTCAATATCCAATTATCCATTGCTAAAATATAGACATACAGTAGACTTCTGTATGTTTGATCTTATATCCTACAACTTACCAAACTCATTTTTTTTTTGTAGATTCCTTAGGATTTCCTACATAGATGATCATGTTGTCTAAGAGTTAAAGACTTAACTTCTCTTCAATGTATATGCCTTTTTTCCTTGTTTTACTGCACTGACTAGAACTTTCAATACAATGATGATTAGAAGGAGTGACAGTATTCAGTCTTCCTCCATCACTAATGATGCTAATTGTACAGATTTTTTTTGGATATCCTTTATCAAGTTGAGAAAGTTGTCTGTAGAGAGCTTTTATCATGAATAAGTGTTGAATTCTCCCAAATACTCTTTCTGCATCTACTGACAATGATGATGTGGGTTTTCTTGTATTTAGTCTGTTAATATGGTGAACTGAATTAGTTCTGTCTTTATTACTCAAAGATGAAATCAGCCTGATGGAATTTTTGGCACTTTGTGAATTGAAGAACAGGCATGAAAACACAACTCAAGAGACAGTGATCCATCCCTTTTCATATGGTGGCTGTACCATGATTCCTTTATCCAGGAGTTAATTTCCATTACTCTGTCTGAGGTCACAGAATCTTCACTTAAAAGCTGATCAGCAATGCCATGTGATTAACACTGAAAATCTGCCCAGGAAGCCTGGGTGGTATAGGTCCTGACTCCAGGCTAATATATAAAGAAAAAAATGTAACAACAACAAAGATAACAGCCAAAGGAAGTCAAATGTAATTTAGTGAGCAGGAAAAAACAAAGACAAATAGCTTCTGGTAGACCACTTGCCCTGAAATGTTGGAGGACAAGTCCCAAGAATGTGCCCCTTATGATAAGCCATCCTCTACATAGATACAAATCTCTAACCTCGAAGCAAGTGCGTGCTCAGTTAATCTCTTTCAACACAACACAACACAACACAACAGCAACTCATTCTCATGCTCTCTGAGTCTAGTAAGTGCTAACTAATGTTCCTTGGACATTATGTTTGCATCCTACAGCTGAATCTATATGTGGACTATAAGATGATGCAGAGAGTTGTGATTTAAGCCTTGGTATGGTTGGGAAACTCAATCTCAGAACCAAGCCACACACACTAAACTAGAGGGAGGTTAAAAGTCTGACACAGAGCCAGGAGGGGGCATGGTGGTTAAGATGCTGGATTCCCACATGGCTAACTGTAGTTTGAGTCCGGGACCTGGCAGCTTGAAAATTACACCAGGCTCATGATCATCCATGCCCTGAATCCCAGAGAAGAATGGAGAAGAGATTGTGGCATGGCCAACTCCCTAGGGGGTGACTTCTCACCTTCCTTCTCTGGCACGTACATAATAGGCCCCATGGCAAAACTAAAGAAAATGGCTGACGCGTTGGGAACTACACATAGCTCTTCCTATTATTAGGTAAGCAGAGTCTCTCTTGATCTTTAGGCCTTCCGGACAACCCTCATCACTATGGTTCCAAAGAACTGACTCATTTAAAACATCTCAAATTCTCTGGCAATTTCTGAAGATGTCTCGCCATCTGGCCTACTTCTTATCCTTAGAAAACTCTTTCTACAGGTAAAATGACATAGGAAATGACAAAACATCTTTAGTAAAAATCCTCTTTAAAACAAAAACAAAAAGTTTCTAAATTACATGAAACATTTGACTGATACCAGGCTGAAGTATTAATACCTGGGAACATTTGAGATTTGAGTAAATAAATTTCCTATCAGGAACTTCACTTGGAGAGACATATATATATTTTACGTGTATACACACACATACACACAGATTTATATACAAAAATGTGTATACGTATACATGTATCTATGTATATATACATATGTATACACACACATATATGCCCTTTTTTTTTTTTTTTTTTTTGCCAGAGGGTACCTGTGCTTGCCAGAGAAAAAGAGATAAAGGAAGAAAGACAGCACCGCCCATGGAGTATGGTCACAGTGCAATCCCCTCTCCTCCATCTCTCCCTCGTTTCAGGATTTTGGGCATGGACACACAGAAGTCCAGTGTTTTTTTTTCAAGTCAGTTACGTGGGTTCCAGCTCCATTAATCATCTGGCCACAAGCTGGCCCTATATATTGTATTTTGAAAAAGAACTAACTTTAAATAGTATATAAAGATTCCAGCACATTCTTTCTATATTTTATCACAAACGATGTACCAAATAATAAATTACTCACTTGTCTTTTAGCTTCTCTCAGTTTTCTTTTAAGGGCTGTCAAAATTCTTTGTACTTCCCATAATCTTTCTTCTTTAGATAAATCCTTTATCCCACCCTGCAGATCTCGATGTAAACAATTCAAAAGAAACTCCTAAAAAACATCACAAACTGAGTAGTATTCCATATATTATTATCTTAAATAACATGTTCAATTTCTAGAGATGTAGAACCAACTATTCCTCAATTATTACTAAAAAAGTGAAATAAAAGCACTGTTTTTTGAGGACATGACTAAAAAATTGTTTCTATTTGTTTCACCTAGAACTTATATTCTCTTCCATTAATTTACATTGTTCAATGGTAGCTGACTGACATCACACATCACCACCTTGTAAGAAATGGAAACTCAGAGCAAATAAGAGAAGAATGTCAGCTGTGGTGGTGTGTAGTGTTAAGATGCTGCTGCTCCACAGGCTGGGACAACATGGAGACCCAAGTTCAATTCCCAGTACAACCTAAAGGCCCTGTCTAGAAAAGCCAGGTGTGGTGGTGTATGTGTCTGTAGTCTCAGCTACTCAAGAGGCTGAGAAATAAGATCACAAAATAGTGAGACCCAGGCATTTAAAAATACCCCTAAGGGAATGGCCATGCCACAATCCCTGCTTCTCCATTCTCTTCCTGGGATTTTGGCAGGCAGACACAGGCGCCCAGCGTGATTTTCAAGCCGCCAGGACCAAGACTTGAACTGCAACAGCTGTGAAACCATTATGCAACCTGCTGGCCCCTAAAATATATATTTTTTAGAGTAAAAAAAGCAGGGCTACAGGTGGGATGGTGGTTAAGGCACTGGATTCCCACGTGGTCAAATGCAGTTCAAATCCTAGACATGGCAGCTTGCCTTTTCACTCTCATCAAATTTAAAAATTAATGAATTGATCTAATTACTTTAAGTAAATTATTCCACCAAAAAAAGAAAAGCAAGCAGCAATTTGACAATTACATGTAAATAATCAAATGTAAGGAAGTTTCTTTTTATATTTTGAGAAATTTGCCGTCAGGCAGCATGGTGGTTAAAGGCACTGGACTCCCACATGGCTAATCATGGTTCGAGTCCTGGACCTGGCAGCTTGCTTTTTTGTTTTTTCTCTCTCTCTCTCATTCTGTCCCTCTCTGGTCAAATTAAAATAAAGAAATAACGTTTAAATAAAATATTTTTTAAAAAAATTTACTCTGGGGCACATGTGCTCACTAGAGCAGGGAGGAAAGAGACAGTGAGAAAACAGCCCCCTGAGGGAATGAACACACTGCAATTCCGCCTCCTACATTCTCCTCTCAGAATTTTGGGTACACACACACACATGCACCTGGTGTGATTTTTGACCCTCCAAGTCTGAGATGTAAATCATAAGTTGGCCATGTAGGATCCAGCGCCTCAACTACAATGCCACCTAGCTGGGCCTGTAAGTTTCTTAGTCTTGAATTTCTTATTCAGTTTGTTATGTGCATGCACACGCATGCACATACACACAAACACAAACACACACACACACAAATAGTACGGCACTGTTTTCTACATCAAAGTAGCACAATGGGTAAAGCCCAAACTGTGGGCTCAAATCTTGGTTCTGTATCTTGGTAATCAGATGACACAGAGTAAGTTATTTAACTTCCCTAAATTTTGGCATTCTTACCTGTAAAATATAGCAACTCTCTAGATGATCAAACATATTAATAGTTGGACTATTTACAACAATCTGGCACTTCTCATGCGTTACCTCGTTTGCAGTAATCTTCACATCAAGTCTATGAGAGGATCCATTTCTAAATGAGAATACCAAGGCTTATGGAGGTTTTGCAGTTTGCCTAAAACCAGTCAGGAGCAGAGCAAGAACCTGGCCTTTTGATTTCAAACCCTGTGCATTTTCCATGATGATATGCTGACATATTTGGCACAAATGAGTGTCCGATGACAATTCCTCACTTCGGCGTGCCATGAAGGACGTACCTAACATAGCTCTAGACACACACAAAGTGCTCACTAACGAGAGCTATCATCATCAGTCCTCAGAATGGCCCAAACACAGGCAGCTGCAGGCTGGAGGGAGGGCTGGGGGCACACACCTGTCTCCTGATCTCCTCCTTGATGCCCGCCTGGGTCTCGGGCAGTGTGGGCATCGTGGCCATGTTAGACCATCTCAGGGGTTTCGTCACTTGCTTTAGTACCACATTTCCAAAGAGCTCTTGCACGTGTGTGAAAAACACATACAGGACGCGGTTGCTAATCTATGGAAAAATAGAAAGATTTACAAGAAAAATACTAAAGTTATCATTAGATTTCATTTATTTGTGTCTAGTACATAGTGCTTTCTTTAATCCTGGACACACAAATGAAAATTTTCCTCAGGAATGGGAAAACAGGCTTTGCTAAGAAGATATTTAAGGAAAAAGTGGCAAAATATGAGTTAAATCATGTTATTCACACATGACAGGAATGGAAGGTGGAAAAAGCCAAGAACAGGATGCAGAAGCTGATGACAATCTTAATTTGAAAACCATACACTATTAATTTGAAGTACATTATTAGTATTAATTTGAAAATCGTGTGTTCTTTATCTTCAAGTTATTTTGAGGCCTTCAACACACAACTGGACCTAACAAGGACTATGAGGAAAGTGAGCACCCCTGCCTTTGTAAAGCTGGGCTGAGGTCGACAGCCCTCACTCCAGAGAAGGACTGCCTCAGGTCCTTTTGCACCCCTGTGTTTATACACTGCTCATAAGCTAGGAGAACAGAAACTAGGGCAGCTAAAAAGCTAGTAATGGAAGTAATTTCTACCTAAAAATCTTATTCTCACAACATACTGAATCTTCTGTGATACTATCATCCTTACTCATAATAACATTAAGTAATAATGTAACACTTACCAGATTCTGAAATCCCAACTACTGGGCTGTCTGGAAAGTCATGATACATTTTTGCACAGAAAAACACAGAAAAGTACATCATGACTTTCCCAACAATTTAATAACATGAATGATCAAATTGAAATCTGAAAAATATTTTGCTTCCAAAAACATAATCAATGAGCAATGAAGTGACAATGATTTATTATGATCCAGAATAGTGGCCAAGAAGCGTTTAAGGGACTGGCAGATGGTGTAACGGTTACATCGCTGGATTCTCACATGGCTGATGGCAGCTCAAGTCCCACACTCCAAGCGTGTGTTAAGTGCCTGTCCAAGACCCGGGGAGAACAGAGGACAAGGGATTGAGGCGTGGCCATCCCCTCTTGGGGATGATTTCTCACTTTCCCTCTTACTGTGTGTGTTTCTCCTCCCCACCCAGCATACATGCCCTAAGGTAAGAACCTCTTAATAAAAAAAAATTTTTAAAAAGAGAGAAAAGAGTTTAAAATTTAAAAAAAAAAGTAAAAATAATTTCCTTTTTAAAAATCTTTTTTTGCCCTGAGTAAAATAACTCCAACTAAAAAAAAACATAGACAGCACTCTATGTCAACACCAACTCAGCTGCAATAAAGGAAGGCCAAGTACTTACGTTGTAAAGAGATACCAATTAACACAGTCATTCCCTAATGCACCTTCTCAAATTAATAGTCTATAACATCTATAATCCACCTGTTGTTTTATCTTAAGATTCAGGGTTTTGCGACCAGCAGTTGGCATAATGGCTATGTTGCTGAACTCCCATGTAGTCGATTGCAGTTCAAGTCTCAGACCCGGTGGCATGTTTGAGTACGTGCCCAAGATCCAGAAAGGAGAATGGAGGAGAAGGGATTGTGGCGTGTCCATCCCCCCTTGGGGGTGATTTCTCGTTTTCTGTCGCTCTGTCTCTCTCTGTCTTGCTGGTGAGCGCATGTGCCCTATAGCAAAAACCTCTCCCAAAAAATGTAAATAAAATAAAGATTCAGGGTTTTACTATGGTATCCAGTCTGGCCTGGAATTGTGATCCTCCTACCTCAGCCTCCCAAGCAACTGGGATTACAGACATGTACCATTATACCCAGCTAAGGATCCTTTATTTTTTTGGCTAGACAGCATATGTACGAACAACCGAGAGAGAAAGCATGCACACAAGGACTAGTCATGCTACAATCCTTTTTTCCTGTATTTCTCAACCCCAGCAGAATCCTGGGCATTGTACATATGTGTTTTACATGTTTTTCAAGACACTGGAACTGGGATTCAAACCACGGTCAGGCATGTGAGATCCAGCTCCCTCTGAACAGTGCTTAACTGCTGCTCTAAGGGACTGGCTTCGGAATCCACCTTTTTTAATGAAATCCTTAGGTTAAACATCAACCACACAAATTAATCAGACCCTTTTTATACCTCAATTCGTCTTTTTAATTATCAGAGGGTGCAAGTGCTTACGAGGAATAGACAGAGAGAGAGAAGGAGAAATTATTCCCCAGTGGGTGTGGTAATGTTGTAATCCCTGCTTCTCCTCTTCTCTACCCTGTCAGGATCTGAGGCACACGCACACAAGCATGCAGTGTGTTGCACCTGGCATGTTTTTCAAGCTGCTAGAGCCAAGAGTCAAACCACAACTGACTGTGGGATTGGACTCGCTTATCCACTATACCTGAGTTTGACATGTGTGTGTGAGATATAATAAACAATAATGCTATTTAATGAAATAACCAAGATCTTTAAAATTCTATAGATGAACTCTGTTACTACAAGTACCACACAGGCTCCTCCTCTACTGACCGATCCCTGTCACCAGGATGGTACGATATTCAAATTACATAGCGGGGGCTGGCAGGTAGCGTGTTGGTTAAAAGCGATGGATTCCCACATGGCCAATCAGTTCAAGTCCAGAACTGGGTGGCTTGTTTTCTCGTTCTCCTTTCCTCTCTCTCTCTCTGTCTTCTCTGGTCAAATTAAAAAATAGTAATAAATGTAATTAAATAAATAAGTAAATAAACAATTCTTTAAAAGAACAAAAAAATAAAAAGCATATGCCATAATGCCAAATATGCTCAGAATCTCACGTGCTGACATTGTCCACATTACAAAAGAAAAAGACCTATATCCAAGCTAATCCATTATCTACTTTTTGTGGTTAATTATTTGACTCAGCTAAGAAAATATCCCCTAATTCCCCAGTGTGAGTATCAGAGAGGCTGTGTATAGAGAAGACCATGTACCTGGACGGTTGGGCTGAGCACTATGGAAATGTTCTGTATGTTCATTTTTGTTTCCAGTTCCTTCTCAATGACATGGTCCATGTGCACGAGGAGCCAGGAAATCAGAAGATAATTACATTCTGGCAGTTCCTTGAGTAAGCGCTGAAACTCCTGTACTTTCTCACTCTCTGTGGTCCTCCCACAAGCCTCTTCAAATCGGGGCATAAGCTCTTTGGTAAGCAAATTCTCTGGAAGGTCTCTCAAATACTGCTTCAGCAAACTGGCCACAGTATTAGGCTCATATTCTTCCAAGTTGGGAGACTCCTCTCGGTCATAGGCTGCTTTTAGCTCATCCACCTTTGATTTAATTCCTTAAAATATTCAAAGTCAGAAGAGAGAGAACACCAAGAAAAAAAAAAATCAAACACATAGCTATCTTCGCCACTGTACCCAACCCTCTTGGGAAGATAGGAGAACAGCCACCTAACAAATAAAAACCTCTTACTATGTATGAATTCTCTATCTGCATAAGGGTCATATAATTCCTCTGTAAACATGATCACATAAAACACTGAGACTGAATTTGAGCTAAATTTTAAATGGAAAATTAAAAACTAAGAACGAAAGTCAGAGCAACCACAGACATATTAAGCAAATATGTGAAATGATTCAAAGAATTTTTTTTAAAGGTAGGTCAGTAAAATTCAGGCCACAATTAACTACAATCCAATCATAAGTCTTTCTCTACACAAGTGGCCAAGTGCTTTTTATTTTATTTTCTAATTGCCAGAGGGTAAGTATGCTTGCTAACGAGACAGTGAAACCCAGGGAAGAGGGGGTGAAGAAAATATCCCCCAGCGAAGCATGGTCACACCGCAATCTCTTCTCCATTTATGTATCAGGATTTGGGGCATGCACATGCACGCACTCAACATGTTCTTCAAGCCAGGATTTGAACTGTGTGGTCAGCCATGTTGGATCTGCCTCCTTTAAACATCAGACCACAGGGCCAGCCTGGCCAACTGCCTTTCTAACTAGTCACAAGACTGACGACACAAAGTACAACTTGGTATATACCTAAGTATGTTCCCCAAAATTATGGTAAGTTACTTTTAAGTTTCTTCTTTCCTTCTATGAGAGAGAGTAACAGAGAAAGAGACAAAGACAAGTATCCACAACAAGGTCCTCCCACCACAGTCCACTCCCAGCCTTAGCCAGTCAGAACACAGGCATATACTTGTGTGCCCTGTGTGCACAGGGAGACCTCAAGACATGAACCCAGTACTTCAGTATCATGGCACATTGTATTAGCACTGCACCACTGCAGAAGGTCAGGAAAAAAAAAATTTTTTTAAAGAGATTTTTGCTACAGAGTGAGAGGGAAAGTGAGAAATTATCCCCTACGGAGATGGCAATGCCACAATCCCTTCTCCCCCATTTCCTCCCAGGATTTTGGGCATGCATGCACATGCACCCGGCCTGAGTTCTATGTTACTGGTCCGGAACTTGAGCCTCAGTCTACTACATGTGAGTCTAGTGATATAACCATTACACCATCTGCTGGTTCTGCAAATTACTTTTCTTTAAGTAAAAATTGTATAGTAAATGTAAAAGGTGAGTTAGCTATCTAAATAAACTCTGTGTAGGAGCAGTAGATGGTGTAGCGATTATGTCACTGGACTCCCACATGGCTGCCATGGTTTGAGTCCTGGGTCTGATGACTTCAAAATCACGTCAGGTGCATGTATGTGCATGCCCAGGATCCCAGGAGGAGAATAAAAGAGAAAGGACTGCAGCGTGGCCATCCCCCTAGGGGGTGATTCCTCACTTTCCCTCTCACTGTGTGTGTGTCTCTCTCTCTTTCTCTCTCAGGCAAGTACGTGTGCCCCAAAGCAAAAACCTCTTAAAAACATAAAAATTATAAATAAATCAACTTTGTGAAAATTATTCTCCATTAAGTAATCTCCATCTGATTTCCATTTTAAAGTTAAGACTCTAAGCGTTTTTTAATCTGAACACAGCTGGAACCAAAAAAAAAAATCAAAGTGAAGTTTGAGCTTCTAAAATCGAATTGGTTTACTTTTCTTATATGGCAAAAACTAATACAAAAAGGGAATGTTTTGCAAACATTATACAAGTTTTAAGTTGTCAGTGCAATTTGAATTAAATAATATAAGTTAGTGACAATTACTGCTCATAAAAGTACAAAGCAGCATTTCTAATTTTTTAATACATAACACTTTAGGCCATCTATTTGAAACAAGTCACAAATGCAGGTTGACAATTTCTAACAGTAATGCCATCTGATCTGAACAGCACTTTATAATCAATACAGTGCTTACATCTGGGCTTTGACATTCTTATGTGAAAACCATTTCATGGCATTAAAATAAATCTGTAACTCATCCAGCATTGACAAAATAAAAACAACAGCACCAAATAAAAAATAGTATGAATCATTTTTGCATAATCTTCAAGACAGGAAATTTAGAAAATAATATTTTCCTACTTTTACAACATGAATAAAAAGCATGAATGATAACTTCAATTAAAATTCTTAGCAAAGATCTCCCTTTTCTCTCATATATTTAAACTTTAATATAATTTTTCTCTCAACAGCACTTACCCAGCAAAGTGTCTGCTTTGTTACTACTCTGAAACTATTATCAAAATGCTTTCCTTTGGGACCAGCAGTTGGCGTAATGGCTATGTCACTGGACTCCCATGCAGTTGTCCACAGTTCAAGTCCCGGACCCGGTGGCTTAAACTCACATCGGGCACATGTATGTGTGCCTAAGGTCTGAGAGGAGAAGGGATTGCAGTGCGGACATCCCCCCGGGGGTGATTTCTTGCATTGTGTCTCTCTGTCTCTCTCTGTCTATCTCGCATTGTGTCTGTCTCTGTCTTTCTGGTGAGCGCACGCACCCTATAGCAAAAACCTCTCCAAAAAAAAAAGCTTTCCTTTTAAAATTGGACACTTCAGAGCCATCAGATGACACAGTGGTTAAGGCACTGAACTCCCTCGTGGCTGACTGCAATTCGAGTTCCAGACCTGGTGGTCTGAAATTCACACTGGGCCCATGTACATGTGTGCCCCAAATCCCAAGATGAGAATGGAGAAGGGCATGAGATGTGGCCGTCCCTCCTGGGGAGTGATTTCTCACTTTCTGTCTGTCTCTCTGGCAAGTGCACATACCCTTATAGCAAAAAATCTCTCAGAAAACTTTTTTTTATAAAATGGGGCACTTCAGTAGGCTAGCCCTGAAGCACACTAGTTAAAGGAGCTGGATCCCACATGACTGAGAGCAGTTCGAATCCCAGCCCTGGAAGAAAACACACCAGGTGCAAATGGATTCATGTCCAAAAGGGGAACTGCAGTATGGCCACATCCCATTGGAAAGTACATGCTCTCTCTATCTGACAAGCACACATGACCTTTGGCAAGAAAATTTCTGGGTGTAAGAGAAAAGAGCATATGGTACACTTGAATGAAAAAGATATAATAAGACACAGATAAGTAAATTAAAACATAAAATCATTTCAATTTCTTTCATAGTAGTTTTAAATTTGAAGCTGATGTATAAAAAAGTGAGAACCAAAATTCCCAAGATAAAACCAGTATTACTCGCATTCAAAAAAGAAAAGTCACAGCGGAGTACAGCACTGCTGCAGGCTGAAAAAATACGATAATATAAAAATACATCAAAGCTCTGCCTCTTAAGAGTCAAGGACTGGCAACGGCTCACTTAGAATGCTTTTACATACAAAGAAGAGGGGTCCTGAAAATCTGAATCTCTAAAAGAACACAAACATAAAAATATAGGTCAGAGACTAAAAAATTCTTAGGTAGGAACTGTTCAGAGAAACTTCCACCTAAAAATGTCTTCATGCTGCGTCAGCTAGTGGCATGGTGGTTAAGGCAGTTGGATCCCACATGGCCCACTGTGCAGTTTGAGTCCCAGACCTAGCAGTAAAAAACACACTGGGCATGTGCATGTGTGCCCCAAATCCCAAGAATGGAGGAGAAAAATTGTAACATGGCCATCCCCCTTGGCAGGTCAATTTCTCACTCTCTTTTTTTCTCTTTCTCCCCTGTTCCCCCCATCTCAGTGAGCACACACACGCTATAGTAAAAAAAATAAATTTCATGTCTATCAAGCTCATATAACAGGAACAGCTTATTAATTATTGCTTAAATCTTTAAAAATCCATTCATCATAAATTATCTTTCAAAATCAAATTTTTAAATTTATTTAGACCTGTTAATATATTTTGCTAATGTGGGAGGGTAAGTGCACCAGACACAGAAAGAGAAAGTACCACCAAACAGGGCCTGATTATACCACAATCCTTTTACCTCCATTTCTCCGTCCTATCAGGATCTAGGGTACAAACGCATGTGAACACAGCATGCTGCCACTGGGAGTGGGAGTAAACATGGGATCCAGGGACCAATACGGTGGTGTAGTAGTTATGTTGCTGGACTCCCACATGGCTGACTATGGTTCAAATCCTGGACCTGGTGGCTTGAAACCCACATCAGATGCGTGTGTGTGCATGCGTGTGCATGCCTAAGATCCCGGGAGGAGAATGGAGAAGGGACTGTCACACGGCCATTCCCCCTGCTGGGGGTGATTTCTCACTGTCCTTCTCATCGTGTCTGTTTCTCTCTCTTTCCAGGAAAGCCATGTGCCCTAAAGCAAAAACCTTTTTTTTAAAAAAAAAAAAAAAAAAGTGGGCTCCAGGTTCCTTGGCAGTGCTTACTTAACCACGGCACTACAGGGTGGATATTTCACGTGTTGATTTTATGTAATACTAAGGAATGATAAATTCAGATTCACTGCCTATTTTATTTCCTATGAAAGAGTAGCACTTTAGCTAAAAATACTTCATTTTTTTAAGATAAATTTTTGCTATAGGGCACATACGCTTGCCGGAGAGACAGAGACGGAAAGCGAGAAATCACTCCCACAGGGGATGGCCACGCTGCAATCCCTACTCCTCTTGGGATTTTGGACATGCACACACATGCGCCCAGCATGAGTCTAAAGCTGCAGGTTCAGGACTTGAACCACGGTCAACTCCATGGGAGTCCAGCAACGTAACCACTACACCATCTACTGGTCCCCAAAAATACTTTTAAATGACCTCATGTTATTTATTTGATTATGTAAAGATTTATCAGAAACACCTGCCCTAGGGGCCAGCAGGTGGTGTGGTGGCTAAGGCACTGGATTCCCACATGGCTGATTGTGGTTTGAGTCCCAGACTCGGAGGCTAGAAAATCACAACAAATAGATAGATAAATAAATGTATGTTTTAAAAAATTAAAATCTGCCCTTTCTCAACAAAACTTAAGTATCAAATCTACCTTCTAGAAATGCATATAAACCAAGTAAATGGAAAAACTAAAAAAAATTTTTTTAAAGGTTTTTGTCATAGGGCGTGTACACTCACTGAAGAGAGACACAGAGTACAGGGAAAGGTGAGAAATAAACTCCCACCCGGGGGATAGCCACACCACAGTCCCTTCTCTTCCACTTTCCTCCTGGGATTCTGGGTACACATGCACAGGTACCAGGTGTGATTTTTCAAGCCACTGGTCTGGGACTCGAACTGTAGTCAGCAATGAAACTGGGAGTCCAGTACCTCAACCACCACACCAACTGCTCACCCAGAAGAAACTAATTTAATCACTCTATAGCCTAAATGTGTATGATTTAGCAATTCAACATGAAAATACATGTGACCAGCAATTAATTTTATAAAATAAGTCTCTAAATACCAAGAAACTGAATTATAGGACTGTAATAATTTGGAAAATGGATGGTACTACAGATCTGTATTAGTACACAAGTTGTACTGCTTTGTAAAACTAGAATCTTTTTTATTTATTTTTTGAGAGATTTTTGCTATAGGGCACATGTGTTCCCCCTGGGGGGATGGCCATGCTGCAATCCCTTCTCCTCCATTCTCCTCTTGGGATTTTGGGCGTGCACACACACATGCCCAGCATGAGTTTTAAGCCACCAGGTCCAGGACTCAAACCATGGTCAACTACATGGGGAGTCCAAGGACGTAACCATTATGCCATCTGCTGGTCCCAATCCTTTTATTTTTAAATAATACACATTTTGTTTTATTTTAGACATCCAATATGAAACACATTCTTGCCAAGCATGACATTTAAATGCTCACACATATGAGATGTAGGTAAATGGAAAATCAACTTCACTCATACAGGTGATAACTACACATGGCTGGCAGAAGCGCTCATATCTGAGGCCTGAACATTTAGAAAATAACACTTCAGGTCTCTTAGCTGAACTCAGAAAAAACATTATATGACTGTGTCAATAAATATGGCTCTTCACCAAGAGAGTTCCTTCATGCAGATATCCTTCCTTCTCACACTGGTGGCCCTTACACCCCTGAGCCTCTGTATAGAGAGGAAAGATGAGAAAAAAGTAGGGTCTGAGGGGGCCAACAGATGGTGCAGCAGTTGCATCACTGGACTCCCACATGGCTGATCACAATTCGAGTCCCAGACCTGATGGCTTGAATTTCACACTGGGCGTGTGTGCAAACATGCCCAAGATCTAGAGAGGAGAAAAGATCGCAGTATAGCCACCCCCCCTAGAAGTGATTTGTCACTTCTCTCTCACTGTCTCTGTTTCTGTCTCTCTCTGCCATAAACTCTCACTGTCTCTGTTTCTGTCTCTCTCTACCATAAGGTAAAAATCTCTATTAAAAAAAAAAGTAAGGTCTGAGAGCACCCTGTAAGTAATACTCCCCATGTGCTTCACTTTGTCTTAGTCCTGGCTGCTGCAAGCTATGAATAACAGGTGCAGCCCAACGGAAGGCAGTATCATAAAAATCCAAACTCTCAAAACACGGGGGTAGGGGGCAGTGAAGAAAGGAGAATATTTTGTATAATCAGAAGGGTCAAAAAAATAAATATGGCTTAGGGCCCAAGCCACAATTTTCTTCCCAACTTAGTACTTCTTCTTCTTTCCCTGCTCCATTTCTCATTTCAAGATCCTGGGCACATAAGCGCATATGCCCAGTATGTTTTTCAAGCCACTGGGTCTGGGACTCAAACACAGCCAGCTATGTGGAATCTAGCTACCTTAATCATCATGACACTGGCTGGCCTACAGTTAACTTTTTTTTTTTAAGAATTATTTTATTGGGACCAGCAGTTAGTGTAATGGCTATGTCACTGGACTCCCATGCAGTTGACCGCAGTTCTAGTCCTGGACCCGGTGGATAAAACTCATGCAGGGCACATGTGCATGCATGCCCAAGATACTGAGAGAAGAATGGATTGCAGCATGGCCATCCCCCCTGGGGGGTGATTTCTCACCTTCTGTCTCTCTGTCTCTCTGGCAAGTACACATGCACTATAGCAAAAACTTCTCCAAAAAAAGAAAAAAAAAGAATTATTTTATTTAACTTTATCCATTTATTCATTTATTTATTTATTTAAATTTCACCAGAAAGGGACAGAAAGAGAGAGAAGAGAGAGGAGCGAGAGAGAAAAAGAGAAAATGAGAAAGCAAGCCGCCAGGTCAGGGACTCGAACCACAGTCCAGCACTCTTAACTACCACATCACCTGTTGGCCCCATCTGTAGTGAATTTTTTTAAAATCACCAATGAAGGGCAGGCCCTGTAGAGCAGTGGTTGAGGGCTACACAGTGAAAGTTAGATCCTACATGTCTGACCAGGCTTTGACTCCCAGCCCCAGAAGCTTGAAAAACATGCTGAGTGTGATGTAATAGAGAACTGCAGGAGGAAAGGGTTATGGCATGACCAGACCCCACTGCGGGAGTTCTCTTTTTCTGTCTCTCAGGGTGTAGGCACCCTCTGGCATAAAAGAAACAAACAGAAAATCCCGCCAATGAAGTGCATAACCCCCATACCTGAAACTCTGTAGATGCCCTCACACTTCATGCCATACTTCTCTACATAATCTACACATTCACGGAAAACTGCTGGCAGTCGAACGCCATCGTACATCATGGTCCTCTCTACTGCATCAGCCAGAGGAATTCCAAAAATGGGTCTGAGACTCGGAACGTCAATCTGAGGCACCTCGGGCTCCTGAATGGGCTTCTTCTTTTTCTTCTTTTCCTTCCACTGTTTAACAACATCTGCTGCTGTCAAGTCTTTTGACTTCTTCTCTTTATGTTTTTCTTCTTTGTGTTTTTCTTCTTTATGCTTTTCTTCTTTGGGCTTCTCTTTTATTTTAATATCCTTCTCTTTCTTTTTAGAAAAGCTGGGCTTCTTGAAAACATGGATTCCCTTAGACCTCTTCATTTTGGAAGGACTTTCAGCTTCATCTCCAGAGCTATCTTCCTGAAAGGCAGCATAGCCTTCAGCTGCCAAAGCAACACAGGGAACATAAGTTACACATTTGTTTAATGTCAATCTGTCCATACACTTTCTAAAAACAGAAAAACGGGGGGTTGTGGGGGTAGGGGGGGACTGGAACTATCTAGCTTTTTACTTCTCAGCCAATCCCTCCTGGGCACTTCCAACAACAATGTGGGTTTCTTTTGAGCTATGAAGAGATAATGCAGTGCATCTCCTGACCACAAGAGGGGGACAAGCAGACAACAGTTGCTTCCCTCGCACTAT